TAGCCCCTGCGCATAAGTCTAAAGAATCATTCTAAACCCAAAAATCGGCAAAATTAAGAGAAATGAAAGCAGAAGAGCGTTTGGAAAAAAACCTCACATTCGATACAGAAATCGGTCAAGGGTCAATTCCAAGCGAACTTACTTGGTTCCGACCCTATCGGCGAAATTTCCATTTTGACCCGAAAAATTTAGTCCATGTTATCTGTGTCGATTTTTCTCGATTTGGGACGGAGAAAAATATTCAAGATTTCAGTCGCATCCTAGGTTGCTGGAAGCGTAGAATCGATTTAGCACGGTCCCGACTCTCGGCAAGGCTCCCTGAACTAAGAAACAGTCAAAAATTGGTCCAAAACTAGCTTTTCGTACCACTTTTTGTCTCTTTCTTCAGAGCGTTTTCAGCGGATAACTCGTAGCGAGGGACTCGAGGAGCTTTCCCGACTGGAAAATCTCACTCAGCAGGTCAATTCCAAGCGAGCTTGCTTGGTTCCGACCTTATCGGCGAAATTTCCATTTTGAACCGAATTTAGTCCATGTTATCCGTGTCGATTTTTCTCGATTTGGGACGGAGAAAAAAATTTCAAGATTTCAGTCGCATCCTATGTAGTCGGTGGCTTAGAATCGATTCCGCACGCTCCCGACACTCGGCGAGGCTCCCTGAGCTAAGAAACAGTCAAAAATTGGTCCAAAACTAGCTTTTCGGACCACTTTTTGTCTCTTTCTTCGGAGCGTTTTCAGCGGATAACTCGTAGCGAGGGACTCGCGGAGCTTTTACGACTCAAAAATCGAACTCAGCGGGCCAATTCCAAGCAAGCTCAGCTCCAAAGGAGTCAACGTCACGAGATAATGGACCACTAGACAAGGTACGAATTTCAGCATTCTGATACATGTTTCGTAATTAAAATTTCACGTAGAACACGATGCGCACAACGAAAATTACCAAAATCAACTCCTTACGAAGATATTTAATGATTCTTGATGCGTGAATTCAAACCACCCGCTCATGAAAACTCAATGCTCTACGTGATTCACATCGTGCGCTACACGTTATCATGACAGTCTCTGCGATATAAAAATCTGGCAACCTCAATCTTGACGCTTTGGCTCAGCTATAGCAAATTGCTGATAGTTTGAACAACACATGATGGGAAATGAACATTGCTCGATTGAGAAGCTTGCTGAAACCGTTGTAGTGGGCGATTTGACTCACGTAGAGCTTTGAGTTTCTTGTGAGCGGGCAGTTCAAATTCCTCGTAACCAATGTGAAATAAAAACGTTAATATCTTCGTTGGGAGTTGGTTTCAGTAATTTTCGTTGTGTGAATCGTGTTCTACGTGAAGTTCTGGTTAAGAAACATGTATCAGATTGCTTTAATTCGGACCTTGTCTAGTGGTCCATTGATAGGCTTGGAGGACAAGGCGCACATGGCGCACAAGTGCAGTTTCTGCTATTTCGAGAAATACGCGTTTGAGGTTTCGAAATTATACATGCATGGATCCTTATGGCGGAATAAAAGTTCAAACTGACATTTTGATGCTCAAAAATTGGAATTTGGGAGCAAATTTTTCACGGAATATGCATCAAGACTAGTTTTACTTGAAATTAAAACTATCTCAATTTTTTTAAGAACTGCCTGTATGCGCCTTGTTATCTCTGAAATATTTATCAGTGTATAAGTCGCAGGGAGTCAGCAATCGCCGGCAATTGGCAAGCTCCGTACTTGTCAATTCGTCAAATTGTAATTACGATAACATCGATATAGTAAAGATTTCTTTACGTCTTCAAATCCAGCGATCCTCTCCGCTTTGCCAAGGAGTTAGTTTAGTTGCTTAACCGAACCTAACACCGATTATTATTAATGGCATATCACAAACTCGCGAGTGTGGTAGCTGGCACCATGTATCCGAGAAGAAGGGGCTAACGTATGTTTGAATTCAAAGCATAATAATCCCTACTTCCAATCTCGTTTTTTCACTTTAAAACGATTAAATTTGTTGATTAAACACGAATAGGTTGCAATTTGCCGGCGATTGTGGAAATGTTAATGAAACGATACTAAAGCACTTTATAGATGGTGAAAGTGCAGAAGTGCGAATCTCGGAAAACACAATTTTCCAGGAGAGTAAAAAAACTGTCTGCATTCCTCTTTATTGTCGGCAGAAGGGATTAACCTTCTACCCTTCTTATTAATAATTCTTGAGGATGGCAATAATAAGATGTTTTTTCAAACTCCATCAGCAGTTTCAATAATTTCTCGAACTGTTAGAAAATACGGCAGAAATGCCGAGATTCGCGTTTTTGGCACTAAGAATCGACCCTTCATCAGTAGATTCGCATTTTTGCACTTAGTGTTTTAAACTTGTTGGTGGATTTGGATCATTTAAAGACGGAAAAAAGGGTTTCACATATAAATTTCCTTATCAGATAAGATTTAGTTGGTCATCGATGCTCCATTCATCCATGCTTTACGCTTTCCTAATGGACTAGTGGACAAAGTACTTTTTCTTCAATTATGATTATTCACAGTTAATCAAAGAAAACTCATTTTATCCGTGCGAAACTATTTAAATTCACGACCACTTTTGAGTGAGTTGCGATCTTGTAAACGACGACTCTTTCAGTTTCACTTTAGAATACGATGACCGAACCAACCGACTCAAAATACACAATCTGATCCAGCCGCCTGCGCTCTCTTCATTTAAAAAGAACGTAGATACCAAAAACAATCTTAATATTATTTCAAAATAATATTCCTCGGCATTTTCCCAATATGCAACTCGATTTAAACACCCAAAATTATGAAGTTTTTGGTCAACATCATTGTACAAGGCCACTCATAATGGATACAGAAGAGCGCCTTCAAACCAATCCGTAAACTTAATGTAAAATTCTGATACCACTATTCGTGCGTCACGGCAGTCATTTTGCATACCCGGCCATTTGAAGGCGTCTCGTTGACTTCAGGCAAACTGGTCAAATACGAGTTTTTCTGGCCACTTTTTGACTTTTTCTCTGGATCGTCTTCCGCGGATAGCTCGAAGCGAGGGACTCGCGGAGCTTTCCGGACTCCAAAATCTCACTCAGCGGGTCATTTCCAAGCGAGCTTACTTGGTTTCTGCCCGATCAGCGAATTTTCGATTTTGATGCTAAAAATTTAGTCCATATCACCCATGTCAATTTTACTCGAGTTTGGACTGAGAAAAAAACGTTTGAAATTTCAGTCGTATCCTACGTGGTTGGAGGCGTAGAATCATTCTGCGAGGGCAGAAATCATCATTCATCAAGCGAGGGACTCGCGGAGCTTTTCCGACTAGAAAATCGCACTCAGCGGGTCATTTCCAAGCGGCACAACTTGCGTTCGGCTCGATTTGTGAACTTTCGATTTCGACGCTAAAAATTTAGTTCATGTTACTTCTGTCGATTTTCCTCGATTTTGGACTGAGAAAAAAAATTCGAGATTTCAGTCGCATCCTACGTATTTGGAGGCGTAGAATCGATTCCACACGGTTCCGACTCTTGTCGAGACTTCCTGAGCCGAGGAACAGTCAAAAACTGGTCAAAAACGAGCTTTTCAGACCAATTTTTGACTCTTTCTCTGGAGCGTTTTCAAAGGATAGCTCGAAGCAAGGGACTCTCGGAGCTTTTCCGACTGAAAAATCCCACTCAGCGGGTCATTTCCAAGCGAGCTTACTTGGTTTCTGCCCGATCGGCGAACTTTCGATTTTGATGCTAAAAATTTAGTCTTTGGAACCCATGTCAATCTTTCTCGAGTTTCGACTTAGAAAAAATGTTTGAAATTTCAGTCGCATCCTACGTATTTGGAGGCGTGGAATCGATTCCGCACGGTCTCGACTCTCGGCGAGACTTCCTGAGCCGAGAAACAGTCAAAAACTGGTCAAAGGTCAAACAGGTCACGAGCTTTTCAGACCAATTTTTGACTCTTATTCCCGAGCGTTTTCAGCCGATAGCTCGAAGCGCGGGACTCGCGCAGCTTTTCTCACTGGAAAATCGCACTTAGCGGGTCATTTCCAAGCGGCTAAGCTTGCTTTCGGCTCGATCGGCGAACTTTCGATTTTGACGCCAAGAATTTAGTCCATGTAACGCCTGCGTGATTTGGTAGGTAGCTTATTCAACGCTGCTTTTACTTTTATAACATGCGATACAACTTTTTCGCATGAAGGTGTGGTGCTAGCCCAAAATGCACAAAACTATTTATTCCGGAGATGTTTTTTCCGGGCTGTACCTACAACACAAAATCGGCTGTAAATCTTTAACCCCCCCTTACCCCTCCCCTTTGCATAAAATCCGCGAATTTTTCATTTTTGTACAACTTTCCTCGCTTACAGAGATGTGGGCTCAACGCTGCGTCTATGCCTGCCTCGGGGACGATATCAGAGGCAAATTTCTATGGCGCGGCGTTGCCAGGAAATCGAGTCAAAGAGTTCATGAGGAACTTCAGCAGTTCTGCGCGGTGGATCTCTTGGCCGTATCAAGACTCAGCTACCTTGCCCTCTCTGCTTTTGTGATCTCTCTCATTTTTGGATAAAATTTCCCACCTGCAAAAAACAGCTTTCGAATACTTGGTTTTTGCTTCGTGCTTCTGCAGTGAGCGAATCCTCTGACAATTTGGTTCATTCAGATCCGAAATAACTGAAGGCATGTAGCTAGTAGCTCGTAAATATCACATATTCAAATTTCCCTCTTTGCATGTTTGCTCTTATTACCACCTCAAAAGCACTACAGAGAGAGAAAATTTTGCATCAAAATTTTGAGGAAAATATAGCAAGAAGACAGGACTTGAAGCCGTGGGAATATTCCTAGAAACATCGTTTTCTTGTAAAGGCCTTTGCGAACAGATTAAAGAGCAAATCGACCCTTTTGAAATTACTGCGCTTGGACTGTTTTGGCTACCTTCAGGTTGTCACAACTGGCACAACAACATAAACAACTGGCCGTACCCCTCGTCGATTTTCTAGAGCTCTCCCTCCCCCCCTCCGGCCCCACTTTCATCTCCCCACGATCGCCATTGTGACTCACGATAGGAATAGGAATAGCACACAATCTCTTGTAGTTTTTAGTGTAGAAAAACACAAAGTGAACGAAGTTTGAGTGTTTTTTGTCGTGTATCCGGCCCATGACCTTTAAAACTCAGTAGCATTTGTACGTGTTATACTTTTAAGTATTCTATGAACCCCGAAAATAAAAAACAGGACAGCGAAGGCTCAAGGTAAAATCAAGATTTTTTTCCAGCTCATGTTGTATCATCTTCTGTTTATTATTTGATTTCTGGAAATTTCGTTTCATCTAGAATGAGCACTTCTTTTCAGGCCACAACTACACACTAGTTCTTATCATTAATTTTAATGTAGAGAAGCATCTGTTTTATCTCGAGGCCAATGTAGTTATCAGGGAATGCCTTAGAGGTTATGATAGCTACGACTACCGTTTGAATCACTTCCATTCAATCAATCTTATGCTATGGGTCGCTCTTAATTTCATATTCTGTTCATGAGCGTAACTCAATTTACCTTTGCTAATCCAAAGTTACCTCGGTATCTTCCTCAGCCATTGTTTGTTATGCACGTTCTTGTAGAGTATGTTCATGTCCTACACTGAGTGACGATGGATTCAGTATGTTGTAGCTCGTGGGTGTTCAGTAGGCATGACAGGAACAATTTGATGGGAAACATAAGTTTTGCTCATGCAAATTGTAAGCATGAGAAATTTACTCAAAACTTAAAGCCATCGTATCTGAACAATGTTTCGCTCCTTTGGAATCTACTTGGTGGTAGTGTGATTATTATTTTATTCTAGTGACTCTCCGTAAGTGAAATCTGAATAGATAAGTGATGTGTCATAATTTTTCTCTTCTTTCCCTGGATATTTCTTTGGAAACTTAGCATCAGCCGCCCTCCCCATGTTTTGTATGTGACCTTAAGAATTCTTGACTAGTAACTGATTTCTGTTTCTTTGAAGGAATCAATGCAATAGTCACATTTCGTGTTATCCTATTTCATGTCTCAGTTGCTCTGCAGTAAGAATAAATGTTCTCTATCCAGTACATAGCTGCAGAGTTCTCTGCTTTACAGCATCTTCGTATCTTTTGAAGAATCAGAACCAACCTTTATTTACTAGTATTTTAACAGCCGCTTGAAGACTGGAAATTACTCCCTCTCATTGTTGGTGTCTAACTAACCTTATTTCCTTTCTTTCAGCAACACTTCTGCTCTTGCGCAGTTGTCATCTTCGAGCCTTGCTCTCTCGCCTGAGGAAGAGGTATTCCAGTCCAATAACGGAGAGCCAGATACCATGAAACGAGCTGCTGCCGCGAAAAGAATTGAACGCTACTTCTATCAGCTTACAGATGGTTGTGGCAATGAAAACTGCAGCAACAAATTTTGTGCTTCTAGTGGAAAAGTAAGTTTAAAGGATTGGCAAAATTTTTAGTATTTATTTATTTATCTATCTAAAAAAACATACCTATTAACAGAAATACAACTTCAGCACTGGGGACTACTCTAAAGCAAACGCCTATAAGTGTAGCTTAGTAACTAAATATGATACAAACTGCTAAAAAGAAAGAAAGTTACAAGAAAAAGGACTATGAAGGGACACTCCTAGACACTCCTTTCTTCTGTACTGCTAGATGCTAATGCGTTTATAGAATTTTCAATCCAGTCGGAACTAATGATTTTTTTCCTTAATCTTGAGCACTGTCCATCATGTTTTAGCAGAAAATAAAGACACTTTACCTCTCTCTTTTCAGGCTCCATCATTGAAGCCGAACCAAGCTGCTGTTTTAGCTCTTGAATTATTCAAAGAAGACTCTCCTCTGTGCGAGTATCACCCGGCAAAAATTCCTAGAACTCAAGAGGCAGGAGACCTCACGCCTGAATCATTTGTCTCCTCATTATCAAATGTTATCGAGTCTGCCAGCTCCAGCGAGAAAAAAGTTCCTTCTGCTTCAAGTGAGCTTGAGGTTGGAGAATCTTTGACTCCGACAACGTCCTCGAATACGCCCACCACAAAGACACAAACCAAAACAACTTCACCATCTGTCTCTGACAAGGACTGCACCAATAAGCCTTACAATGCATCTTCAAGCACTAGTAAGTTCAAGGTCATTTTTAATAGAACACTATTTTGCAAAGTGTCTTCAGAAAGGGACCGTTCAAGTATTTCATAACGTTCTATCTCCGATTTTTTAACCCCGCCTCTCCCCTTGCAAAGTTTCCGTAACACAGCCCTACACCCCCCTTATGAATTACATAACACTGGCCTGACCTCCCTCCCCCCACCCGCAATTTTAAAAAAAAATTCACCGGGGAAGGGCAGTATTTCCAATTTTTTGCAGGGTTTTTTCTAAGTTGTTTTACTGCCGGTTCGGATTTGTTACCTAATGCTAGGCTTGATACCCCCCCCCCCTCTTCTCCTTGAAACGCACTGTAATGCTGGCTGAAACCCCTCCCCTCCCCTGAGTGCGTTACGTAAAACTTGAACGGCCCCAAAGATCATCCAAGACTTTCATTGATCCTTCAACATTGCATTTAAGGAAAGAATATTTAATACCCAAAAATAGCCCAAATAATTGAAAAAACAGACACCAGAAAATGGCATGGGTAAAAAAGGCTGTCAAGGAAAAGTTCTGAGGGTGGTGTAGGATCTGCAAAGTTGAAGGAAAACAGAAAATTGTGGGGATGGTTTTTCAATCTTTTTGAAGCTGCAATGCTTAAAGAATTGGGGATTTCTGCTAGGCCAATCCTCCATAGCATTAGCATTTATAATTGCTCTCTAAAAAGTTGTTTCAATTCTGAATCCTAGGGGTAGCAGCGAAGCTTTCAAGGTATTCAAATATCTCTTACTACTTTAACTTTTTACCTAACTCATTCCTTTCGTCTTGAGACAGAACTCACAAACTGAGATCTAATGAGCACGCAAGTATAGTAAGTAATACCTAGATTATCTACTCATCACATATTGAACGCGACAATAAGGGACAACTGCACTTTTTTTTCTTGTTTTTCTGAATTCTTTTCTGTTTTCTTCATTTTTTCTGCACATACAAATATGTAGTTTTCATGTATTTTTAACTATTCTGCTTTTATGGTACATCTGATTGGGGCCTCTGTCACTGAGTGAAGGTACTACTTTAAGGCAAATGAACATGTTCTAGGCATTGCAAAGGCAAAAGCTAAATGACAGAGTTTTTCTGAAATCTATCCAGGAACGAATGATGATTTGATCGTAATGTTGAGAAAAGTTTTTTTTTCACATTTCTAAGAATATTTTAGTAAGATTGTAAAACATGAGATACAGTATTTTCTCTCTGTAACGACGATAGTTATAACAAGAATCTCTCTGTAACAAGGAAACCAGTCGGTTCCTTGAACTTCCCATATTAATTATCGACTATGGTTATAACGAGAATCTCTCCATATTGACGAAATCAGCTGGTCCCTTGTGTTCTCGTTATGAGAGTCCCCTGACTTTCTTTTTTTTTTCTTTCTTTCTTTTTTTTTATAAAACATTGCTTCTTAATGTTTATACGTAATCAGAATGTTTGCTTTCTTGTTACAGAAAAAAAATACTTGACCGAAAAAATCCTTCATGATATATTGGAAACTTGCAAAGAAACAAATTCATACTCAGCCCTCCGAGCGTCATTATATCAAGTTTTCTCTGAGCCGGAATGTTTGTATCAAAGCTTCTTGAAGTCTGATTCGGAGCCAGCCAAATCAGAACTGTACCCTAATTTGAAGAAGGAAGAGGTAAAAGCAGTTCAAATAACAATTGAGCCTCACAAATTATGAATAAGATGGTATATTTACCGGAGACTTTTAATTAATATCTGATCATGTAATAGATGAAAGGCTTCTTTAAAAGAAAAAAAAGGAAAAACGCCGTATTAGCATCAAATGTTGCAGTGTAATTTTTCCTGACAAAAGTAAATAGTAAATTCAAGCATATTTTTCCTTGAATTTTTCAGATAATTAGATTAAATTGCAAACAAGCGTCCATAAAACTGAAATAACGACACACAGAATTATCCACGTAAATTCGTTTTCTATCGCAGAAAATATTGCAACGTCTGAAAGTTCATACAGCATTTTTCCTCAGCATGGCAGTAGTGCTTGATAGTGTAGGAGATTTTCAAATGAAATCCAACTGATCCTAGAATATACAAAGGTTCATCGGTTCTGCAATCGATTGAAGATCATGAATCGATTAAAAAAGGAATATAAAAAAAATGAGCCTTTGAGCCATTCAGTATTATCTGAGCAAGCCAGGAAACATTCAACATCATGGGTGAAGATTTAAGGTCAAAGTTGTAAAACATGTATTTGACTCTTTCCTAGGTTGTCTGAGCTATATTTGTTACGCTTGACATTGGAAGAATGCCAAATTTATTGGAAGTATTTTATCACTAATTCCTCTTCCTCCCAGTGTGTGTATGCTGCTTGGAGCTCAGGAACATATAGAAGAAAAAATGATACTTGCCCAATTTGAAAAGTCATTATCATTGAATTCCATATAAAGAGGATCATCAAAGAATTTAGAGCTTGATTTTCAATTGAAATATGCACATATTTAGATCTGCACGAATTCCCTCTAAATCACAGATGCATTCCTTAGCTTTAACTACCAGGAGAAAGCAGTTGGCTAGTATTTTAAATTTTGATTGTTCTTCAGATCAACCATAAATTAATAAATCAAGAATAACGTAATGCTCAGTTTATTTCAGCGGATTTGCTCTCAATCTATTTCTTGGAAACTTGATCGTAGAATATTCTTTATTGCTGAGACAACTTTAACATTTTTTAGTATTTGCATGATGAATTTTTATGGAACTGCATTTAATTTTCTTTTTTTCTTTTTTAAGGTTCGAGAGCTGGAAGGTGAAATGGAGAAAGACCAGGATAGCGTGGCTGTCGGGAAAGGAGAAATAGAATCATGTTCTGATTATTTAGCTGTTGATATTGCATCATTGAGACGAGCATACAAAGAGCTATCATCTGTTCCTGCCTCTGAGTTTGAAGATGCTTTTGTCCGAGCACTTTTGACCTTGGCAGGTAATTTAGTTTCTTCTTATGTTGTAGGCGATAGACGGAAATTCACTTATCGTAAGGGAAATTGATATGAATGCTTTTTTCCTTGTTTTTGTAAATGTGAATGCCTCACATTTGACTGTTGAAAGGAACAAATCACATTATCGTTTGTCTAGATAGTAAAAGAGGAAAAACAGAATTGAATCATGGTAAAAAAATCTCTTAAATGTTGAAAGAAGACAAATGAAAAATAAAACTCTGTATGTAGAAGCTAGAATTGATATTCCAAACAATCAATTTTAAGTAGGGCTGTGCGAATATTCGAGTTCGAATAATTTTTCCGATATTCGATTCGAACTCGAACCTAGAAACCCCGAATAAGCGAATTATTCGACAACATTGACTAAACTTCGAATATCCAACAAAAAACACCGAATATTCGTACATCCGGCCATATTGATGACGTACTAGTAAGAACTTGATATGGCGCGCAGCTCAAACCAAATTCAAACTACTTGTTTTGAGGTTAGGAAAACAAAGGCCAACGTTTCATTGGTTCATGCAGCGCACGGCACTCGCTTAAGACGGATCAATTCAAAATTCACGCCACTTGAGTTCCACCTAATACGTCATCAACATAGCATACAAATGGGCGAATGTACTAACCTCCATAACCTATCCTTCTCTGCCTTGCGCGGCACCCCGGTCTTTCCAATGTTGCTAGACTGTCTTTACAAGATCAGCATTGATGTGGAGTAAAACTGAATAAAATGCATTTTCGGACAGTAAGAAGCAGTTTTACAGTTCCACGACTGTTCAATCAATTGGTCGTCCTGAAAGGAAACAATTTTCTCTCCCTTCTTTTCTTTCCCCAGCAAATCAAAATGTTCGCAAAACCATTTTATAATTAAATGAATTGATTAATTCTTGATCTTTTTATCCGTAATAGTAATTTCTTCAATCAAAATTTGAAAGTTAGAAAGAAAAACAAGCAGTGAATTCCAACACAATGTGTTGATAAGGCGCGTCATTAACTCACACATATCATTCCCTTTAGTTTTCATTTACAGAGATTTCAAAATAGGCAAGTAGCACAACAAGAGAATTCATACGATCCAACACTTCACACGACGCACTTTGACGAGACCGTGTTTTGTGAATGTAGAAAGCCATTCGAACGAGTTTAAGTTTTTTGATCTGCCCCCAGCAATATCTTATCAGATTTTTAAAGAAAAGTGCTACGTAATAATTTAAGCAAAGAAAGGAAAAATTCTGTCGAACTCCTGAAAGATACAGTCGATTTAAAGGTAATTTTGGGGCTAAAATATCCAAATCACCGGTACCTATTATAAATCCCAATATATCCCGAGTGGGGGGTCGAAACGATCGCAAAGGCGGTATACTACGTAAACGCGCCAAAATTATTTATTCAATTTTTATTTCGACCAACACAGAGGTTGGTTTTGGTCAAAAACAGGTAAAAACTATAAATATTCGATTCGAATTTGAAACTTTTTCATAATATTCGATTCGATTCGACATAAAAAAAACCACATTCGCACAGCCCTAATTTTAAGGGGTTTTTTTTGTGCAATTGTAGGATCCAATGGTTCAGTTTTCTTGCAAAGTTTTCTCATTTGTAATTTCGTATTGAATTGGAGAAGTTTTTGCCATCAGATTTCATGATTAAATAGAAACACACTCACTAAATGATGGCTGATTAAAAATCCTACAATTCCTACAAGTAGCGTTCTCTTCTTTCAGAATGGGTTCTGAATAATTTTCTAGCTATGAAATAGAAAGTAAGGATGAATCAAGTGAGATTTTGAATATTACTTCATGGGAATTTAATTATTCAAGTATTGAATTGAATTTAAAAGAAAAAGACAAAAAAGTAATGTCACTTGCTCTCATTGTATAAATAAAGCTCTTTATTCCTGTCTGGAACTTTAACTTGTACCCTAAGAAATTTACCTCTTTTTTTTTTCAGATCAAATATCCATTGACCTGCAAATGTGTGGGAAGTGTGGAAATTCATGCAACTTGGATATGCTGGTGCAGGTTTTTGTGATCGTATTTGAAATACCGATGTTAGAAAGGTGTGAGTATCTAGAGACAGCTCTTCCCAAGTTGTGCACTGTCGCTAGTCTCCTACCGCTGGCCGCCCAGTCAAGATTAGCCAGAGTCTGGGCCAGGCACAGTAAACCGAGGCTAAAAAATATCCTCGAAGCTTTACAACAGCTAGTCTCCTCAAAAGTTGTCATGGGCACATTCACCAGTGAATATTTTGTTCAGGATGATGAAGCCATTACAGCAGCTACTAAAGTTATGAAAGTAAGAATCTTTTCAATATTTTTACATGAAACTGCATACATTTTTTTTAACTCTCCGCTTTATAGTTCCTAAATTTAAATGGAACTAATTCCTTATGCCCACATTTAATTGAAAATTGGCGTAGAAGAAGGTTTTTCAAATTTTTAAAGATCGAATCCTGTCTAAAGTAGGAAATACTGTGCTTATAGATTGCGACATCTCAGTTTTGGTCAAATCTTGGTCTCCCGCCATTCAAGCTTATAGTTTTGGGGTAGTCGCATTCATAATTTTATCGCATGTGTTCTTTGCAGATGCGCGCCTCTCCTAACTGTTTGGTTATTATATTTTTCTTATTATTTTAATACTTGTCACTTATCTAGTAGAAGCACAATTTACAATTTTACAAGTACATTTTTTTCTGTATTTGCAGATCCTTTACTTCGCAAACCTGTTGGCCGGTGAATTAGATTCTCCTGAGCTACGAGAAGAAGATTTGTCAGACTGTCCTATTTCTGAAGATTCCTTATTCTATGGTTTTATTAGTGCAAAAAGGGGCTGTACGTGTCCGGCCGACAAAGATCCTCTGGGTGAAGAACTGAATGTAAGTTCTTGTTCGTTTTTGATCCTCTAGAATTTCCTGCCATTCATTTTACTAAATTCATTTTAACAAATTTCCTTGCTGAATATTGAAGATCACGGGGAGTCTTGATAATAATGCTCATGGCTTATGTTGAAAACTTTATCTATTCATGTGTCTGAGTAAAACATTTTATTCTTTTCATTGTTTAAAATGCATGCAAGGCAAAGGAAAAGTAAGGAAAAGGCAATGAAGAAGCAAAGATTTTTAGAGACCCCCTGAAAAGTGAATGGGCCTGTTGCAAACTTTTGCTAGAGCAAATATAAGAGTTGTTTCCTACAGATGATGCCTCAAAAATCACGATGGGCGCATTGGCAAAGTCTGAAATGCACTCATAAATTCACAATCTGCGTAAGAAATTTGCGTTTTTTTGAGCTTCCCGCTTCAAAAACGATACCACGGCACAGGTGAACATTTTGTTAGAGGAGTCGTTCCATCGTCGGCAATGTTCATCATGGCCGACGTTTCCGCAGTTCCGCGCGTAATTCGAGGTGAGTTCAGGGTCAATCAAGGCGGGCGAGGAAAATATGAACGTAAACACGCCTATTGTTATCTGGTCTAATGCTGTTCAGGTGTTATCTCGTCTCATCATACGTGTTTTGGCGAACTGGCGTCGGCCATGATGAATATTGCCGACGATGGAACGCCTCCTCTAACAAAATGTTCACCTGTGCCGTAGTATCGTTTTTGAAGCGGGAAGCTCAAAAAACCACAAATTTCTTACGCAGATTGTGAAGTTATGAGTGCATTTCAGACTTTGCCAATGCGCTCATCGTGATTTTTGAGGCATTATCTATAAGAAACAAATCTTAGTTTTGATATAGCAAAAGTTTGCAACAGGCCCATTGTTGGGTAAGTAAGCGAAAACGGAGAAAGATAATTAAAAAAGTAAGGAATTTAAATGAGAAGGTACAATAGACATTCAGCAAGAGTACTGTTGAGGAGCTTTGTGCCTAGCACAATAATAGGATAGTTTTTTGTAAATAAATGGAAATATGTGTAAGTGGAGTTTTTTTTATTCATTATTCTCAAAGTATGTGTCTCTACAGCCACTCAAAGGATTTTAAGGGTATAACAGTACTTACATGCCTCTAATTTTTTCTGCAGATTGACGTCCTGGATGCTCGAACACCTTTTATACCCTTCTCCGAGTTTTACAATGAGCCGCTTAGCGATGTTGTTGAAATGGACAAAGACTTCGCAAATTACAAAAGCTCCAAAGAATCAAGTGGTTCTGGCCTAGTGTTCGGGATGACTTCTAAAAAATTTAGTTTCATGCACTATTCCTTCATTTTAACTCCTGCAACTAAAACGCTGGGATTGTATTATGATAATCGCATTCGAATGTATAGTGAAAGGCGCATAAGTTTGCTTCGAACTGTTGTTGGAACACCAACCAACCCTTATTTAAGGCTGAAAGTTAGGAGAGATCACATCATAAAAGATGCGCTCGTTGAGGTATGTATAATCAATTATTGTCAGCTCTGACTTAGTGAGAGGTAGGTAGAAAAAAATGGAAAAAAGAAATAAAAAAATATTTGTGATGGTTGAACCCATTAGAGTTAAATATTTTGCCCCCCGTTTTTTTTTATTTTTTTATCGATATCCTTTTCTTAGCATGTTGGTTTGTATTTTTTTTTGGTTATTCATTATATTTGACTAAGTATAGAAGATACAATTTTTACTTTTTGTTACTGTGCAATGGGTTTACCTTAGTGAACAAAATTTCAATTTAAAACCTGTAGCATGTTCTTATTTGAAAAATGTTAGTGGAAAGTATTAAGCTTCCTTTTTTATAATAATGCATTTGTTAACTTTGGATCAAGTAATTTGAAGGAAAGCTGGCTCAAATATTGAATTAGAATCAAGATCAATGGGCCTGTTGCAAACTTTTGCTAGAGCAAAACTAAGAGTTGTTTCTTACAGATAATGCCCTAAAAATCACGATGAGCGCATCGGCAAAGTCTGAAATTCACTCATAACTTCACAATCTGCGTAAGAAATTTGCGGTTTTTTGAGCTTCCCGCTTCGAAAACGGTACTACGGTACAGGTGAACATTTTGTTAGAGGAGTCGTTCCATTGGCGGCAATACTCATCATGGCCGACGCCAGTCCGCCAAAACACGTGTGATGGGACGAGATAACACCTGAACAGGATTAAACCACATAACAATCGGCGTGTTTACGTTCATATTTTCCTCGCCCGCCTTAATTGACCTTGAACTCTCCTCGAATTACGCGAGGAACTGCGCAAGTGTCGGCCATGATGAATATTGCCGACGATGGAGCGACTCCTCTAACAAAATGTTCACCTGTGCAGTGGTATCGTTTTTGAAGCGGGAAGCTCAAAATAACGCAATTTTCTTACGCAGATTGTGAATTTATGAGTGCATTTCAGACTTTGCCGATGCGCTCATCGTGATTTTTGAGGCATTATCTATAAGAAACAACTCTTCATTCTGCTCTAGCAAAAGTTTGCAACAGGCCCATTGAAGATATTGTTTGCTGATTGTGTGCTTTTGTTTCACCTGGTTTAGGCCTCTTTTTAACATTTTCCTAAAACCAGTGTTGAATTGTTGATCCAATCTTTCGAAAAAACTTGTGTTGATAAATTGTTTTGGTTCAAAAACTTTTATTGTACCTTTGCATGGATGCATACAAATTTCTATAAGATACTGCAGCTATTTTTTTTCTCCATTTCTGGGTTAAGTTTTTACAGCATAAAATATTTCATTTTCAGCTTGAAATGATAGCAGCAGAAAATCCAAAAAATCTAAAGAAACAACTTGTTGTGGAATTTGAGGGAGAACAAGGTATCGATGAAGGAGGTGTTTCTAAGGAATTTTTCCAACTCATAGTGGAAGAAATTTTCAACCCTGATTACGGTAAGTTGCCTGCAAATTGCATGTAACCAAATACGTTCTCATGAGTATTTAAAGATGTAAAATTTTTGCCTGAGACAATTCTACTATTTTTTAAGTTTGCAGTTAACCAATAGGAGGGGGGATTAAGGTCTGCTTAATGAAAAATTAGACATGAAGGTAATAAATTACTTACTTCCATAACGTAAGCCCTGAACCTGTCTTCTTTTTTTTTCGAAAGTGTAAAATGATAAAGGATCGAAGTCCTTCTGGGAGGACCTTATGAATAGGTCATAGGTAAAATTTTGTTTTGAAGATTTGCAAGTCTTTTGAGCTGATTCATTACCATTTACCATAATTTTACTAACAAAAAATTATTCTATTCAACAGGTATGTTCACTCTTCAACCTGAAACGCGCACTATGTGGTTCAACACAACATCTTTTGAAAGTGATGCACAGTTCACCTTAATCGGCATTGTGCTCGGTTTAGCGATTTACAACAATGTTATATTAGATGTCCATTTTCCAATGGTTGTGTACAGAAAACTGATGGGGAAGAAAGGGACTTACTACGATTTAGAAGATTTCAACAAGGTGAGTATTATACAATACAGGGCAGCCGTTTAACCTTTAAGTCATGCAGAAAATTATTTTTTGTGATGATAATTATGATTTGTACCAATGAGAATTAATAGGGTTTTCATGAGTTTCATCCTCAATTTAATTTTTACACAATATTTTGGAACAAAGCCATTTATTTCAGGGCAGTCTATTCAGAGCCAAATTATTACTGATCAGGTTCGTTGACTCTGACGTGTTCTTGCCTCTAAATGAAAAACTTTAGCAGAAGCAAAACATTTTGCCAACCCTCCATCTTAAAACAGTAATTCCTTAATTATCAAGCATTGCAATAAGACACCAGCATTTCCCATCACCAGAGTCTTTAGCTAAAATTTAGGAAGACGGTTTTGGGAAGATAAAGTTGCAGTCAACTGAAGCACTACATCGTCACCTTCCAGGCAAAGTATCACAAGCGCCATGCGACGTTTAAAAATTTCCGCCGCCATTTTATTTCTTTACTGAGAAATTGTTGGTTGAATCTGTTTGCAAATTTCACTAAATTTTATCGGCCGCACAAAGAAAATTCATTGAAATTTTCGGACAGCTTCGTTGAACAATTTCTCTGTAAAAAAATATAATGGCGGCGGAAATGTTTAAACGTCGCATGGCGCTTGTGATACTTTGCTTGGAAGGTGACGACATGACTTTATCTAGAGGGCAACAAAGTTTTAGCCTGTTCTGAGGAGAGGCCATGAATTGAGAGGAAGCAAAGAACAGAAAACTCTCATCACCAAATCAATCCATTCGTTTTCGATTCATTATCGCTGTTAGGACTGTTGCAAAATTTCATTTTAAAAGTATAATTTTTATTTGAGGTTGGAAACCTATTTTTTTTAACATGACGTCTATCATCAGAAAGTTATCCCTTCTAAAAGTGTATGATTGTAATTTGTTTCAGTCCCTGTACTCCGGTTTAAAATCAATGTTAGATCACGAAGACGATGATATGCAGGACACATTCATGCAGACTTTCAGGATTTGTTATGAAGATGCTTTTGGATCTGTTTTACATCATGATTTGAAAGAAAACGGAGATCAGATTTATGTTAATCAAATTAATAAGAAAGTGAGTGAACTCTACTCCTACAGCCTGATTGTTGAAACTTTAATTTGCCATGTTGGCAAGATAAGACATAGCCCTATCTGCGCCATTTAATTTATTGATCTTCGATTCTTGTCGTGCCGATATAAATTTCAACAATCCGGCTGCTGGTTTTTTTCCTTCTACTAACCTATACACCTACTTATATCTACTATACACTACTTATATCTACTATCTTATATCTACTATCTGTTCTACTTATATCCATACACCTTTTGAAAAGACTGAAACTGTCTCAGAATGTCAGTCTTGGCCTCTTTGGCACTGAAATGTAAAACATTAGGGAGCATATAGATTGTGAAACTCCCAAACCATTTATCTTGGTTTGCTACGTTGCAGACTTCTTGTCATACTGTATTTTTTAAGTGGAACACAACTTCCCAAAACTTCCATGATTTTTCTTCTCTATGCGAGAAAAATTGTGGAAAAATCTCAAGGAATTATACGTCGGTTTGTTCCCTGCAAAGAAAATAAAATATAAAGCCGGGCAGGGGAGTGGATTCCAAGAAGATTTTAAAACGCTGCAAACGAGATACGTGGTTTGAGAGCTTTACCGTTAGTATCCCCTTAACTCAAGAGCATGGTCTTCGATGATGAAGCGATACATTTCTCCTAAGAAATTTTTTTTATATTTGATTTTCATCTAATTTGCACTGAATTAAATATCCTTCAATTAAAAGAGATCGAAACTGCACAGCCGCACAATGCATAATTTACATTGTATCTAGTGAGTTTTGAAGAGAATCACCAAGTGTTAACATTGACAGTTGTTCATCGCAGATATAAACTTGCACAATTGTATGGAAAATGAGTTTAGTCATCCGGTTTCTTCTTGTGATTATTAGGCTCTTATTCTGTCTTGTGAATGTGCTTAATATGTATCTCAAAACTGATTTTCTTTTTTCTTCCAGGAATTTGTTGATCTCTATTCTGATTTCCTTCTCAATACATCAGTGGACAAACAGTTTAAAGCCTTTAGACGTGGTTTCGAAATGGTGACAGATGAATCGCCCCTTCATCTTCTTTTCAGACCAGAGGAAGTAGAACAGCTAATTTGCGGTAGCAAGGTAAAGCAATACTATCTCATCAATACTATGTCTGCCTGTTTAGAGTTTTAATTCCAAATTATATAGCATTCAAGAAGTAAACAGTAGTTACCCTGCTTGTAGATTGAAATTAATTAGAATGGTAATCAAATTTTCCAAGAGGAATAACAAGTCAAGCTGGAGACCTAGATAATATTTGTCTAGGAGGATCAAAACACGTTCTGTGGAATAAAGATTGACAAAACATCCTGTATGCTCATGTGTCGTTCTACAATTTAGCGGAAATTTGTATACAGCTACAGAATTTTTCCCAGAAAGTTTCATTTTACATGCATGTAGCCTTTGGTTTTCAAGTTTTTTTTTTGTATTTTATAGCACTTAAGCTCTCCCTAAATTATGTCCTTCTTTTTACAGAGTTTCAATATGAACGAATTAGAAGAAGCCACGGAATATGATGGTGGCTATACCAGTGAGACGCAAATTATTAAAGACTTTTGGGAAATAGTTCATGCACTTCCTTTGGAAAGTCAAAGAAAACTACTTCAATTTGCAACAGGCAGTGATAGAGTTCCAGTAGGTGGACTGTCTAAATTGAAATTGATAATTGCCCGAAACGGCTGTGATTCTGATAGGTAAGTCTCTATTGTCTCAAGACGAGCAACATTCTTCTCTCTACATTTAAGTCTTCGTTGATTTACATACATAAAAGCTGTTTACATAGCGCTCCTTGGCGCTCTGCTCTTGTTGATTTTCCATCTTATCATGTGTCAAGCACTCTCCAGTAATAAGAAAGTATAGAGGAATGTAACAGACTGCACAAGATAGATTAAAAAATGAATAAGAAATAATATATAATTAACAACTCACTTACACATTATTTATAATACAATTTTTCTGGACGGGTTTTGAGCATGCCGCCCATCTTCAGGGATAATCGCGGCTCCTTTATCAAAAAGAATGTGCAAGTGAGCCGTTAATTATATATTTTTTCTCATTCTCCAATAAGTTTAGTAACCTAAGAGAATTTTGTGAATTTCAATGGACAAAAAATTTTGGAGGTGCATTTATGGACTTGTTTTATTACATCAGCGAAGTAACAATAACTTTTTTAGTCTTTCTAATGTATCTTACTCCAATATTACTCAAGCGCAACTCTGGTATCGGTGAATCATTTTCTTGCAGCAGGAACTGTTAGTAAGTGAGTCTTAAAAATTGATGGATATTAGTAACAGGAGTGCAGAACCCTCCCATTTTTCAAACCGGCCATCCCATATTAAAAACCTTTTTTCCCGAATTTAACCAAGCTCTGATCTCCTTTTTTATCTTTCATTCACCAGTTGTTGCAGTTTATCATAAAACACCGCGAATTTTAATGCGATTTTCGAAAAAATATCATTGTAATTGCGAGCTGACATTACCAGTATTATCAGCCTTTCTGTTTTTCATGCACGCGGCCATGCAAACCTGAATGCATGATTAAGAAGTGTATCTATTACTTCCAAGGATAGGCAACTCTCAATGTAGCAGCAGCAGTGTGTCTAATGCAGTAGTTTCACTTTTCGTTGACGTCTGTGAGGCTGCAAGCACAAAATTGTAATGCATTTAGATAATTTCATTAATCATTTATCTATTCAAAAAAAGCAAAAATACTTTTAAGAAATTTTACTCACTTGTCTGATTGAATTTTGTTACCGACGTATTTTGGCCACACTTTCGGCCGTCATCCGGGATGCGACTCGCATTTTTAAAAGTGGTTTTTAAAATTCTCTATCAAACTCTCGTCTGGTAATTTTGAAAAAAAATTAATTTAATTTTTTAAGCTCAAAATTTTCTAGGTCCAGTTAAATTTTTATTTTTTGTTTAATTTCTGTTCACTCATTCTGAATCATTTCTCACAAGTGAGCCAGAGAAGAGAAATCACCAAACCACAATTTTCTTAAATCTTCTCTCCACATCTTCCACCAGCTTTTCTGCAACCAGTGTTAAAATTCCAAGAAGAGAAATCTCTTTAGAGACCCAGAAGTGTCGCCATCCAGTGAAAATTCAAGTTTTACATTTTCCCAAAATGGAAAAAATTGTGAAGAAGTTTTGAAAGACCAAACTATTTACGCCCCATGGGTAGATCTAGGAATTAAAAAAGTCCTCGCCTAGTAAGAGAAAGAAAAAAGCAAAGAGAGAAGAATTTTCTTAACTGCTGCATTATTTATTAGTGAACCGCCAAGGAGATTTTCAGATGAGATGTACAGACATGAGAAACGAGATGGTCTTAACTTATTCCATATACTCGCTGTGAGTTCATCAAAAGTGTTTCTGAGGTTATATATCAATGAATTTTTTGGCAAACAATAGTCGCTACCTCACTCGGCTGTGCTTCATACTTCTCATTGCTTTAAAAATAATGCCATTGTTGCTGCAAGTTTCCCTGATCCATTCCTCCGTCCATACTGGAGTCTGACCGCATCAAGTATAATTCAATGTTTTTCCACGGTAAGTAGCTTCATACTAATTTTTACTTTTTCTCTGAATTTTCAGATTGCCGACTGCTCATACATGTTTTAATGTCATTCTCCTCCCTGAATATAGTTCTAAAGAAAAACTGAACGACAGATTAATCAAAGCTATCAATTATTCCAAGGGATTTGGAATGCTTTAAGTGTAATTTTTCAGCGATTTGGATCATGTCTGCGGATTCCACTCTGTTAGCACTTTAAATTTTTTACCCTCCTATTTGCTCCTCCAAAATGAGGACTTTTACACAAAAAATGTAAGAATGTTTGCGAAGAAGATCCTTTTTATACCAGTTTGCGAAGGAATTTTCAGATGGTCTATTTAATGTTTTTTCCATCTAATATTCTTTCCGCAGCAAAGTCTTATGCTAATACCAAAATTTCAAAATGTTATATAGGCGTCTAAAGCTCTGACTAATTTTTTGGATTATCAATTTATTTAAAGATAAAGTTCCTCTGTTTCAGAGAGGAAATAATTTTCCCCATCTTGAATGTGAAAGTAAGTTAAGAGTCATTTAAGGAAAGTTAAGTGTAATGTTTTAATTTTCAAATCTATGATGTACCCACTTATTGTCTAAATATGGGATACAAGTGATGACCAGACATGGGCTTCTGTGAGCAAAATGTCACTGTGTCTTTTAGATTAAATTTTTAAAGTGAAACCATCTCAACTGAGCTGTTGCCAAATTTCTCCTTCTTCCATATTTCTCAAGAACAGCTAATGAACTGTGTCTTGCATAACTTTTGAGTGATTTGTTTGTACTCGAATCAAAATATTTAATGCAAAGTGTATATTCCGATCCTCTTAGAAAAAATAATTTTAAGTGGAAATTTGACAACATTAGAACAAGCTAGTTTTTCTCTGATAAATTCAATCTTTTTTGTCACTTCACCTTGGATAAACATGCTCTAGGTTTTCGTGCTCTTAACAAATTGTTTATCGTTGTTTTATCTGGTTGTACAATTTTTTTTAAAAAAATTCTCCCTTTTACACACCGAAATATTGTTTCATCTTTTTCTTTTCAAATTTTGAACCTCTCCTCTCTCCGATTCAGCTGGGATCTAAAGAAACTTTTCATTCCTTGATCAAGAATCAACATCTTGCTCTAACCATTCTGTTTGATTAGGTTCGTCAACAAGTTTCAAAAAAGATAACTACAGCAATTAATCCTATTTTTCAAGTAAAATTCCTATCTTGTCAGCCCACTCTTTTTTGATGGTAGCTTGCAGACGTGCCACCATGATAATTGTGCATATAATTAAACTTGTTCTGTATAACAGGGTATGTTAAGAACAAATTTCTTATCTAATTTCCTTCCAAAATGAAGAGAAAAAAAGCCTATATCATTTTGTATCAGGCATGAAAAGTTTCAAGGAAAGTCCTTTATTAGAGAGCATGTCAAAACAACTTTAGAGAATGGTCATTATAATCAGAAACTGACCCGCCTTTTTTTTTATTATTTTTTTTACTTTTATTTCTCTATCTGTTAGTGAAATTTCAAGGAATTTTCCAATCTTTTCGAAGTTTTTGTGGTACCTCAGTAATTTATTTGAAAGCGCTAAAATACGTACAGAGATCAATTGGACTTCATTTTGCAATTAGGACCTACAACTTCTGACTCATTTTGACAAGCGCCAATATGCGTGTAGATGGCTAAAGAACAATACCGCCTATCTGCAAACTGACGATTTTGCAGGATGAAGAAGAATCTTCGCCATTTTTATAATTGCGAGGTCAGATCTGTAATTTTTCATATATTACAGCATCTTTACAGCGATCCCATGCAGAATTCGAAAAAACATCAGCTTGCGTATGTAATGCTGAAGAATGCGGCAAAGTTGCTTACTCATTTTCGCCAAAACTGACAATTAGGCGGTATTGTTCTGTGGCCCTCGACACGGAAACTTATGGCACTTTAGTTGGTCCTAGGGTGAGCTGAAAATTGTAGTTCCCAATTGAGGCAGAAAGGGCATTTCTTAGTTGCGGTGTTTCAGAATCTCCAGTGCCAATTTTTATTTTAGAGAAAAAACTATCGGATGAATTTTCTGAAATTATACGTTTTCAGCGTTGTAAAACACAAAGAATATTCAGTAATAGTTACAACAAATTACACACCTTTGCTTTAATCACAATTGATGAAACGTTAGCAGAGAGATTTTGAGGAACTGCAACCAAGCAATGCTCTTTCTGCACCGAGCGCTTCAATTACAGGATGTAGTCCACTTGAGCTATCCATGAGAATTTTACACGGAAAGAATTGAATGTTGATTCAGCGCTGTTAAAAAAAAAAAATATGCGACACAAAATTAAATGTTGATTTTACATAAAAAAAATGCTAACTCAACATTGAACTTGTCCATTTGTCCGTGGACGTGGTCAACCTAGCATTTTATCTATTGTAAAATCAGCAATTATACTTGTCGCACATTTTTTTAACATTATGAATGCTAAAGCAACATTCAATATTTTTCAGTGTACATTTTAACAAAGAAAGACTGTGTTATCTGTCGTATAAGGAGACAATCGGAAGAACTCCTATACCGCCTCCTCCACGGCAGCTGATCTTCAGATTTGACCGCCGATCTCCATTATCTGTCTACGTATCCCGGAGCAGACCACACAACCGTCCCGTAATGACGGCCACCGCATCATCTCATCCTTCCGTTGTGTTATGGGGAGGGTATGGATTCGATCGACATGAATCGATCGAAAAATGAAAACGTGAATCGATCGACATGAATCGATCGACACCGATTCGATCGACAGTTAATTCAAAAACACCCGGATCGATTCGATCCGATCGACATGAATGGATCGAAAAATCAAAACGTGAATCGATCGACGTGAATCGATCGACACCGATTCGATCGACAAATTTCGATCGACTCACGGATTTGTCGATCCATTCACGGGTTTGTCGATCCATTCACGGGTTTGTCGATCGATTCACGGGTTTGTCGATCGATTCACGGGTTTGTCGATCCATTCACGGGTTTGTCGATCCATTCACGGGCTTGTCGATCGATTCACGGGGTTTGTCGATCGATTCACGGCTTTTGTCGATCGACTCACGGGTTTGTCGATCCATTCACGGGTTTGTCGATCGACTCACGGGTGGCTGTAGCAGCAGTGGCAACGAATCATTCGCCCGCTTGGCCCGGGAGGGGGGCTCACTTTTCATTCGCCTCCCGCACAATGTGAGGCTTCAACCTCAACTCTAAAATTTAGTATTGAGCTCGCACACTTAATTTGATACAAGTTTTCCGCTTTAACGGCCGTTCGTAAATAGCATTGCGCTCCGACTAAGGAGGGGGAGAAGTCTGATCTACCGTGACGGGAGAGAGACAGGAAAAACTCCGGCACGTCACGTCACAATCGTTACGAACGCCAATTTTTTTCTTAAAATCATCCAATATTTTCAGCGTAAGGATCGACAAAAATTGCCCTCTATTCGGGAAGAAGGGGTCTTGCGAGGCGCAACGTAATATTCCTGGGGAGGAGGGGGGGGGGGAGCACAGCGGGCTGATCATTGAAATTGATGGACACAGCTATAGACAAAGAAGACATAGGGAGTGTGGAGCGATCCTATTGGTTGAAATGAGTGGTTCCTATAGACAAAGGGAGAAAATGATAGACTAACTGTCGGGTCTCTCGTGGGTTGCCGTTAGTTAGTCTATTACCTATATCATTTGTCCATTGCAACTACCCGCCTCTACCAATGGGATCTCTCCATACCTCTTTTATCTCCTTTGTCTATAGCTCTGTCTATCAATTTCAATAATCGGCCCGCAGACCTGTTTAACCGGCCCGCGGCGGAAAGACGAGGTGGACTCTATACAATTCTTAACCCACTGTTAGTGCGGCTGCTTAATTTTCAAACTCATTTCGGGTGGGATGGATCATAGGTTTATTTTGTAAATCGGTAAGTAAGGTCTATGATGAGATCACTTATGCTTGAGCATACTTTTAACATGCGGCATTGTTAAAGAATTCTGGAGTGTGTGGGGAATATTCGATTTGAATGTAAAGTGTCGTGGGAAACACAAATATGCCCTTGGTCTCGTCTAAAATCAACTCCCAAGCACCTAAAAGGCTTTTTAAGGTCACGTTTTCTGTGGAGGAGCACTTTTACTTTGTAAGAGAGTTTTCCTCCATTATGTATATTCGGTCAAAATCTAAATGCAGAGGAAGGATTGGCTTTTTACAAAAAAATACCTGCATCGAAACCATCTTTAATGCATTTCTAATTTTCTTTTCGTAGCAGCCAAGTCGACCACTCACCAGAGGTTCAAAAAGCGCCTCCGTTTTTTTTGCATGCAATATGGACATCCATTAAGTACGAATAGTTGTATCCATAATTTAACCCATACCTACTCATGGCAACGATAAGGCACTAAGGTTAACGATAAGGTCATGTATAGGCACCATTTCCTAGCGCTAGATTTCGGAATGTTAAAAAGGAAAAAAAGATTCTTAAAGAGTCCAGGCGTTCCACTAATCACTCTCTTTTAGTGTACTCTCCGAAGGAAAAATACACTATTTTTTTGATCGGAGCATGGATCATAAGATCGATTCTTGCTCAGTGAGAATCTTAAGTTGCGTATGAAGTATGAAAATATGCAAGACTAAAATGACATTTTTATAAAACGGAAACATTCGACATTGCTGCCATTGTACGTAACAATGCCGCTTAAACGTTCGGGCGTTTTGAAATTTCCTCCACAAAATATTTTTATTTTATGAAAGTCATGAATATTTGCCCTGTGGAGGCTCTTTTCAAATGGGTTTAAGGATTTTTTTAAAAAAAGTTTTCATTCCAAATAATTAACTCTTCATGACACTCTGAAGTGTCCATGACAAAAAAAAGAAGAAAAAAAGCTCGAAGACGGCATGGCAGTGTTGGCTAGTCAGCGATGACAAGCGCGGTGGCGAAAGACCCAAGTCGCGGCTGCTAAGATGCCGCCGCACACTGGACCAAGTCAATAAGAGAAGTCGGACAAAATTTAGAAACTTTGATTGAAAGCTTATATCGTCACCTTCCGGCTAAGTATCACAAGCGCCTTTAAAAATTTCCGCCGCCATTTTAATTTTTTTACAGAGAAATTGTCGGTTGAATCTGTTTAAAAATTCCACTGAATTTTATCGGCAGCACAGAGGAAATTCATTAACATTTTCGGACAGCTTCGTCGAACAATTTATCTGTAAAAAAAAATAAAAAACCGGCGGAAATTTTTAACGTCGCATGGCGCTTGTGATACTTGCGACGATATTTTTGGAACAAAATAGTTGGAGTGGTTCCGTTGGATTTTTCGTGAAATTTCCTCTCATACCTAGGTACATGAACCGCGTTTAACAGAAAGGAACCAAACCACATCAGCTATTACTAAATTTAACTGCGCAATTTAACTTTTTACGAGAGAACGTTTGTGCGGATTCCTTTGAAAATTTCAAGGGATTTGCTTCTTACTATGCAGAAAATTGACTGAGATTTGCACACAAATTCGCACAACCGTTTTCATGTAAAAACTTAAATTGTCCAATTAAATTTGGAGATGGAGATGGGCGCGCAATTGTCCGGAATCAGTCATTCCATTGATACCATGCTCCGAACTTTATACGACACGACAATCCCAATATAGAAACTTGGCGATTTTGAAAAACGCCTTCAATTGATGCGTGATACTTCACGCATTCCGGAGAGTTTGAATAGTTGTATCATTGCGCCTTACCAACACGACGTATGATTAAGGTTAGACCGTGTTAAGCAGAAAAGAACCCAGCCACATCAACTATTGCCAACTTTTACTTGGCAATTTAATTTTTTACAAGAGTAGTTAATGTGCATTCTTTTGAAAATTGAAAGCAATTTGCCTCCTACTATGCAGAAATTTGACTGTTTGCACACAAATCCGCATAACCGTTTTCGTGTATAAACTTAAATTGCCCGATTAAATTTGGCAATAGGTGATGCGGCTTGGTTCATTTCTGTCTAACGCGGTCCAAATCCCCCTTGAAATTGAATATTATGACGAAATAAACACGAGCATTCGAAATTTAGGTAAAAATCTAATGTCTGCCCTCATCTATTAATTAACTGGTCCCACCGTGCGGCGCACAGTGGATCGAGTCAGTCAGAGAGGTCGGACATGAAATTTTTTAGCAAGACTACAAATTTTGATGTTTATCTCATCACATTTTAAATTTTAAGAGGTGTTTCTTTAAGTAAATTTTACGAGGAAACCAATGGAGCCTCTTCTAGAAGCTCAAAGTTGTGCAAAAGCGGAGTTAATAGAGTCCCTTTACACTGAGAGTCAAGACAATTTGAATCCATTTCTGATTGGTTCCCGTATTTTAGGCCTCCACAGTGTCACAAACGGGAATAAAGATTACATTTTCACCAATTGCAAAGATTATAATCTGGAATGGACCAGGGAATCACGGGTTCGGCAAGGAACAAACGGAATGAGAGGAGGATCGGAGAAAGGCATTTGAGAATGGGCCGATCAAAGATTACGAAAAACGTTCAATTTCTGTAATCTTTATTCCCGTTTGTGACATCCATGAGCCGACTTGTCTTGACTCTCAGTATAAAGGGAATCTAGGAGTTACAAGCGTTGAAAGTTATGACATTTTGTCCGAGCTCTCCTATCGGCTGGATCCATTGTGCGGCGCTCCCGCCCGCGCCCGACTCGCGGCTGCCGGCTCCCGTTTTTCGAGCCGGCTTCGCGAGCACGAGCACCTATCCCGTCCAGTTGCGGTTCCCACTCTCGCCGGCGAGCATGTGAGAATCCCCAACCCGCTCGCACGTGGCGCCTCGCCTTCCAACCTAACACCGCTCCCATGTCTCCGTTCGTCTACACTTTTTCGTCTACACAATTTCCTCAAACAAAAATTCTCGTCCAAACCCACTGGCCGCAGTTCGTTTCTCTCCTGAAAGGCTCTGTTTTCGCCCCTCGAGTTTCAAAAATCATCAGTCCTTCTTATCAAAGTTATTTCAAGCACGATTTTTCGTCCATTTCCGAAAGCCGCCGGTCGTGATTTGTTTTCCCTTCTTGAGGCTCTCATTTTTTGCCCCAGTGTCTGTTATTTTGTGTTTCTTTTTAACCTCGTCCAAGTTTTCATGCAAATTGCCGCTATTGTATTTCTCTAGTCTCTTATTATTTTACCCTCGTCACTTAGTCGTTCATCTCAAAGTTTTTTCAAGTACAATTTATCGTCGCTGGTCGCAGTTCGTTTTTCCATATTTTTTGCCCAGCTTCTTAATTAGATTTTCAACTATCATCATCGGTCATTTATCTCAAAATTTGACCAAGCAAAATTTTTTGTCAATTTCTAAAATCCGCCGGTCGTAATTTGTTTTCCCTTTTTAAGGCTCATCGTTTCCCCAGTTTGTTATTTGATGTTTCTTTTTAATCTCGTTGAAGTTTCATGTACATCGCCGTTATTGTATTTCATAAGTTTCTTATCCTTTTACCTACGTAACTTAGTCTAAGTTTTGCGGCTTTCATTAAGATGTAGGTAAAGTTTTCCGGGACGGAATGGTTTTATAATAAATTTCGGTTTTTTTTCATTCGTTGATTTTTTTGTTGAATATTTTAATCAATCGTCTTACGCGATGAATCATACTTTTTTAGTGTCGTAATTACGCGATGATCGGTGCGCACAATGTGTTAAGTTCCGTTGATTTGATTTCGCGGTGGAGTGAAAATAGTTTCATGGATTAGCCACGTCTGTCTACTCGGCGCGGGTAAGCAATTTTCTCCATCATTAAAATTAATTATGGCTGGCTTTCTTTCTTTCTTTTACTTTTTAAAGCGAGCTCATCGTTTATTCTGTTATGCAACGGCCTCACTGACTTAACGCGGAAAAGCTCTCACAACGAGCCTCTAACGAGTGCCTACCTTGCAAGAGTTTCAGGAAATTTTCACCCCCAACTTGGTAGTTAAATCACCGGGAAAGAGGTTAAGTTGATTTAACATCCTGGATGTAAAAAAAAAAGTGTGCGAGAACTTGTAAAATGCGAAATTACCCGCCACAGCAGTTATATTTACAACTTGGCATTGCTAAAGTAACTATGCTGTAGCGGGCAATTCAGCATTTGATAAGTTCTCGCACACTTTTACACACCCAGAATGTTAAAGTCACTTCACTTTTTTTCGGTGTGCGTATCCAATGTTCATTAAAGTCAGTACAGCAAGTCCAGCTTTGGCCTCTCAAACGCCAAGAAGCTCAAAGCGGATAGGTGGGCATTTTCTTTTTTTTTTCCACACAAAATCCAGTCATACATCAATTGAATGTAAATTTGAATTGCTAACTTAGGTAACGAGCGATATTTAAAATATTGTCGGTGGTTTTTTAATTATTCACATCTCTAGGTACCTTGTTTAAAGAAATATCAGTAAAATGCAGTAATTTTTAACCTATGTTCGGCACCAGAATCAATAGATAGCTAAAATTTGCCGTCAAGGAGACGTTCCGTATAGTGAAAAACTCAAGTATCTTCACCTCATTGACTTCTTATCCAGAGATATCCGCTAAAATTTTGGTGTCATTTTCCTGGCAAAAATTTTCATTTTAAGGCATTGGATTTCCTGTTGAATAATGACGTAACACCGAACACCTTATACTGCCGTGCTAAGGAAAAATACCGTGCGAACACTCAAGAGCTGGCAAATTTCCTCCAAAAAATGTTTATTTTTGAGGAAAGTCATCAATATTTTCTATTGAAATTGTCAGATGATTTAGATTTAGTCACGAATGAATCTCGTCAAATAATTCTAAATATTATGTTCATATAATTCCCTGAAAATTTATATTTTATCAAAGTAAATTTGGCAACGGTCCAGAAGCTCTTACGGTGTTCTTCCTGAGCACGACAGCTTAGTGCTTACCAGGTTTTAAACTTTCCCGCTACAATTAATGAGAACAGGACTGAAGTAAAAAGCTATATTATGCAGTACAATCGCTTTTCAATCAGACACAGACACAAAATGTAGAAGTTGAATACGGCCTCATTGAGGTTTCGGAAGCAGGTTTGGAGTGACGCCTTTATAAGCTTTTTTAGCGGTGTATTCAAAGCAGAGCGGAAAGAAAAACTACCGATGCGTCTCCCGTAACCCCGCTTCCGCAAATATCAAGGATGAAGAGATCCCTGTGGAGCTCTTCTAGGTAAGAGTTTAGGGTGCAATCGCCCTCAGAGCGCCCCAGGCCAATCCGCCCTCGGAGGAATGGACGTATTTCTACCAAACGGAACTATGTGCATTAAGACATGAGCCGCGAGACCCATAAGCATATGTGCATAACAGGGCTCACGTCATAATGCACCTAGTTCCGTTTCATAGAAATACGTCCGAATGAATGATACATACGAAAATATCCGATCCCCGGCAAAAGTATTCGTATACTATATTTGTTTAGCACTTATTTGGACCGCGTCGAGCAAGAAGGAACCAAGCCACATCAGCTATTGCCAAATTTCAGTGGGCAACTTTTTTAGGTACATGAAAATGTTTGTGCGGATTTTTGTGCAAATTTCAATGAATATGTTGCATGGTACGAAGCAAATGGATCACTAGACAAGGTACGAATTTAAGCATTCCGGTACATGTTTCTTAACCAAAATTCCACGTAGAACACGATTCGCGCAACGAAAATTACTGAAACCAACTCCTAACGAAGATATTAACCTTTTCATTTCACATTGGTTCCGAGGAATTTGAACTGCCCGCTCACAAGAAACTCAAAGCTCTACGTGAGTCAAATCGCGCACGACAACGGTCTCAGCAAGTTTCTTAATCGAGCAATATTCATTTCCCACCATGTGTTGTTCGAAGTATAGGCAATTTGCTATAGCTGAGCCAAAGCGTCAAGATTGAGGTTGCCAGATTTTTACATCGCGCAGAGACTGTCATGATAACGTTTAGTGCGCGATGTGAATCACGTAGAGCATTGAGTTTTCATGAGCGGGTGGTTTGAATTCACGCATCAAGAATCATTTAATATCGTTGTGAGGAGTTGATTTCGATAATTTTCATTGTGCGCATCGTGCTCTACGTGAAATTTTGGTTACGGAACATATATCAGAGTGCTGAAATTCGTACCTTGTCTAGTGGTCCATTCTTTAACATTTTCAAAGGATTCTACACAAACATTCTCTTGGAAAAAATTGCATTGCTTCAGTGACATTTGGCAGTAGCTGATGTGACTTGGTTCCTTTCTGCTGAACGCGGTCCATTTTAGAAGTTGAAAATTAGAAAAACTCTCATCCCGCTTGAACACCATGTAGCCATCTATTTTGTTTCACCTTATCCTTCAACTAAAAGCAGATGGCCTGTGGCCTGCCAGGAAAGCGTAAAACTGGCCGACCACCCAGAGAGCCCACTCTATTTCCGTAGTACGAGTATTATGATTGCAATGTATGATGTATCTATGATGGCAATAATATTCTCCCTTCACAGTTTCTGGTACCGACGCCAATTAATTTTTAGTTCAATAATTGTTTGCGAAATAAACACAGGGGCGGGCAGGCAGGCGGGAAAACCCGGAAAAATCCCCATCGGCCAGCCGATTTTAGGATAATTTTGGACCAGTTCATCTCCTTGCCACGGCAAGCGACAATATTCCCTTACTTTTCCGGTCCCAGTCCGTCCCTGAATATGTAAACATAGTTCTGGATGAAAATTAAAACGCACTGAACGCTGCACGTTTTAGAATTTTAATCTCCCAGTGGTGTGGCGTGCTTTTCGACACATTGATTGATCTTTCATTTAAACCCATGGAAAAGGATCGATTAACAGAGGTTTTGCAACGAATACTTTCATAATAGATTCTTTACCACAGCTTCAAATGGGGAAGTATCGATACTCGATCATTAACGCATCGCCACTGTAAACTTCAGTTCTTGACTGTTTTGCGGCCTCGAAATTTGGTCGCCCCTCCGTCATTAATTTTTTGGATCTTCAGGCGAGCTTGGTGGTAACACAGAGTGCATGGATGAATCCCTGGACGGAGCCATGCTGGTAGTTTCAATGAAGCTCGGAGAAGTTGGATTGGTCATTTCCTGGGCGCGAGCGCGATGCATCATTTGTACGGCTGTCTCGCGCGGCACGAGGCCATACAGAAATTAATTAGCGCTCTTTTTCTAATTTCCTCTCCTCTCATCACCCCCCCCTTCCCCTCATAATACAGGCGTGGACCTTATCGCGGGAATTGCAAAACGAGAGGGAGACGCCCCCCCCCCCGTCCTCTCCCAAATTTGGTCTAGAAATCGCCACCTTCCGGCCGAAGTATCACAAACGCTATGCAACATCTAACAATTTCCGCTGCCATTTTATTTTTTTAAAGAGAAATCGTTCAAAGAAGCTGTCCGAAAATTTCTCCGAATTTTCTTCGTGCTGCCGACAAGATTCAGATAAATTTTCAATCAGATTCAACCAACAATCTCTCTGTAAAAAAATAAAATGGAGGCAGACATTTTGAAACGTCGCATGTCACTTTTGATACTTTGGCCAGACGGTGACGAAATATTTTTCGTTCCAAAGTAGGTAATACAATATTTCTCGTAATGGACCAGTAGACAAGGTACGAATTTTAGCATTCAGAAGATTCATGTCTCTTAACCAAAATTTTGAGTGAATCACGATTCGCACAACAAAATGATTGAAAGAAGCTGCGATATAACATATTACTTAACAATTATAGTTGACACTGGTTACCTGAACTTTTCCACTCGCCGCTCACGAGAAAAACAACAGACCACTTTGAATCAAATCGCGCACTATAGCGGTTTTGGCAGACTTCCTTATATCGAGTAGTTTTCTTTCCCTGCTTTGTGTTGTTCACAGTGTTAAATTGAAACGAAAATTCCTCAGAACCGCCCCTTTCCCAGAAATTTTAATGTAAAATTTTCCCCGAAATTTTGATTTTTTATTTCAGTCGCCGTAGACAACTCGTCGCCGATCCAATTCGGAGTTTCAGCCTCTAGTGATTTTAGCGGCTCTGGTGCTTAGCACCTAGAGCTGCTATTCCGGCCGGTCTCCGCAGCGTATGCCACCAATTTACCATTGGTTAGAGCGCGCTTTGGTAGATGGGAATAGGCGCCATTTTCTGCTGTTTAGGGGGGACTGATTTTAATTTAATTGATTTCTTTTTCCTGTGAGCGAATGTCATGTTATTTATTGAGATTTTGGAATAACGGTGATATTGTCTATAATTTAAATTTAGTTGTGTGTTAATTTCGTCTTCAGAAATATGTATTAATTAACTGTTTTCATTGTCATTTTCGAATCGATAATTTTTTTCCCGCCATAAGTCATATCAGCTGGGACGGTCTCGTCCACGGTTGTATGCGTTTTCATAGAAGTTGTGTAGAGTTTATATATGTCTTGGATACGAGCGGCCCAGGGCCGCTCTCCAGCGGCAGTGCGCTGGAGTTACTGCTTGTTTTTAAATGCTGACTCGCTCCATAAAAACAAATTCAATGCATGTTAAGCATCGGAAACCAATTGAACGAGCATAGAATCAAAGTGGCCAGTGGTCAAACTAAATCACCATAGAGGGGTAACGCTTGTCCTATCAGCAGTGCAAGAAGGGATTTCGCACGTCATGTCAATATGCAGTAAACAGTGATTGAGGCACCGCCATCATCGTCGAACCGATTTCCTGTGCTGCCGCGCTACGGACAAACGCCTTATGAGGCTTCAGACGTTGTCATATTTCCTTCCATGAAATATGAATTCACTGGGAAAA